GAGGAAAAAAAGCACATCAAGTCAAATGATTCAATAAGTTTGATTAAACGATAGAATCAAATACAAAACACACGGTATTAATCTTAGTTTTCATGTATTTGAGAAAATATATTTCTTACAAGAAGAATCAAACTTGTGTAAAACATGATCTATAATTTATGAATTACTAATTACGTCACACATAAAATCACTGAGTGTGTGCAGGTATAATCACACCACCAGCAATTAAAAACTATGGATGGCAATTTTAAACATCACCGAGAATTAAAAATTATATACAAAAATTAAAAACTAGAGATGTCAGTTTTAAACAGCACACCAACAATCAAACATTTTGTAGATGGCAGATTTAAACACCACCAACAATTAAAATCTTTATAAACAGATTTAAACACCACTAACAATTAAAACTTTATAAACAGCAGATTCAAACACCACCAACAATTAAAAACTTTATAAACAGCAGAGTTAAACACCACCAACAATTAAAAACTTTATAAACAGCAGAGTTAAACACCACCAACAATTAAAATATTTATAATAAACAGCAGATTTAAACACCACCAACAATTAAAAACTTTATAAACAGCAGATTTAAACACCACCAACAATTAAAATATTTATAATAAACAGCAGATTTAAACACCACCAACAATTGAAATATTTATAAACAGATTTAAACACCACTAACAATTAAAAACTTTATAAATAGCAGATTTAAACACCGCCAACAATTAAAAACTTTATAAACAGCAGATTTAAACACCACCAACAATTAAAATATTTATAAACAGCAGATTTAAACACCACCAACAATTAAAAACTTTATAGATGGCAGATTTAAAGCTTTTTTTTTTAATATTTTGTTTGCTTGTTGTTAAGCGCAAAGCTACGCAATGGATTATCTGTGTTCTGCCCACCGCGAATATCGAAAGCTTATTTTTAACGCTATAAGCTCTTAATCTTACTGCTGAACCACCTGGGGGTGTTTTAAAGATGAATTCGAAATATTAAGTTTCACAAGTAAAACAAGCACTATAAAAGGTTTGCGACTACCTTCTCTGTTTTGTTTTAAGTTGAGGGTAAAATTAATTGTTTTCACATGTTTTATAATATTTCAATTCCTGTGATATTGATCGTATATCATATGAAATCCTATTCAGAGATTTTCACAACTTTTCGTATATCCTTAAAAACAACAAATTGTAAACAATACCAATTTACGCTAAACGATATTCTGAAGAAATATTAGCTGAAATTAATTTCAGCCAGATATTTAAAAAAGTGAAGTCGTGCCACTTAATATAATATTACCTTCTATATAGTCCGATAGATGGCGGTAGAATTTTAGAAGAATATATAATATTACATTCTACATAGTCCGATAGATGGCGCTATATATATATATATATATATATATTTACGCAATTATGTACGACACAGTTTCTCAATTTGTTCTCGCCGGCAATATAACCTGACGTTGTTTTCAATAAGGCTATTGAATGTATATGTACATCACTAGTATTAAAACTCAAAGCTTGCAGTAAAACCTTTGAAAATCTAGATGGATAGTCTCCTAATGACGTCGTCATCTGTGCATCCAATCAAATTTCGAAATAAGCTTATAAATTGTGCTTAATAATAACTGCAATTGTGAACGTGTGTACATGTAAGATAATAAACCTTTCTGAGAAATCACTGCAGCAAAAGTATAACAGAAAAATATATTAAAATCCTCCCCTCCACCCCCAATAGCTACGAATATTCGGCATTCGATTATTTGTTTGGTTTTTTTTATTTGTTATATATTCCAGAACTTGTATCCTCTAGGTGGCGATTAGAACCTCGAACAATTTCACCAATCACAACCTCTGAATACAGACTGTGAAAACATGTCTTTTTATCCATCATCGTAGTGTCACGCGACATGTTAATCAACGACAAAGTGGTGCAGATAGGATCGTTTTTCTCCCATAATTCATTGCGTTACTCCCAATAGAGTGAACGTGTGAAGCACAGTGAACTCTGTGAAACTGGAATCGGAAGTAAACGTTTTAGGCAAAAAACTAAAGCAAAAAAAACAAAAAAAAACGGATAACGAGACAGATACAAATATTTGAGTGACGTTGAGGTACAGGCGCTTGAAATTTACTATTGTAAAATCATATTGGATCTATAAGAACTATTCGGTCCCCTGGGGCTCAGTGGTAAGTTTGAGGGTTGATAACAGTAAACATCGAGATTAGATATTTATGGTAGACACAGTACAGATGTCACAGCGGCATGTCTGCGGACTTGCGACGCTAGAATCCGGGTTTCGATACCCGTATTGGGCAGAGCACAGATAGCCCATTGTGTAGCTTTGTGCTTAATTACAAACAAACACAGTACGGATAACTAGCTCCATCTGTAGTTTTACGCTCAACAACAAATTAACAAACGATTATTTAGTGGCGCCCTCTTTCGGTGAGATTATTTACTAATGCTAAATTCGGTAATTTGTTTGGTTTTTAACTTCTGAATTCAAGAGAGAGAGAGTGAGAAGTTACAAACTTAATCTACCAAAGAGTTGTCGTAATAGATTCATGGTTAAAGTCGGGCGGTATGAACCGGTATGCAACCCGGTAAGAAAAAAAAGTTGTGCCCGGCAAAAAAAAAGTAAATAAATAATAATAATAACAACAAATGTACTACTGCTCGCTACGCCTCTTTGATTTCGCATGAAACTACGCCCGGAAGCACAAAACAGTCTCTTCCCCCCCTAACACATGCATATACTGGAATTAACAAAAAACATTTCAAACACTATCGTTATTTCATTCACATTATTAGGGTAAGGATGGATACTCACGAACTAGCACATTCATGTCTGGTTCGAACCCCGCATTAGTTGATCCCCAGGGTCGAGTACTGGTCTTGCTGTGGCCTGAACAGCGCATGCCATCCACTTCCAACAATTTCGTGGTTTTTCGTGTGAGGGGATACTGCTGATAGCCATCAAGTTCGCTGTCCTGTAATTGTTTGATATTGTTCACAAAATCAGAGGAAAATGAATTTTTCGCAAGAAATCAAATGACTTAATTTTAGTCATGTGATATCGTGTAAAATTTTGCGAAACTTTAACTTTCTTATACTGACCAGTAAGCCGTCGTCTTCCTTACATTTTCCACCCCATACGATTACTAGTTTCCTCATCATTAAAACTAGAAGTACAACCTGAAAAAAGATTTTAAAAAAACGATATTTAACCACTGGAGACTGAGGTTTGGTATATATATACATATACATATCATTATTTAAATGAGCTACAAAAAAACTATTGAAGTACATCAAAAAGAAGGATATCGTGAATTTTTGGACAGCATATCTGAACCTTAGGTGAAATGTCATTAATTTTAATTTTGTAGAGAAGGAAAAAAAAACAAAAATTAAAAACGCGCCCACATAACAAATATCCAACACCAGAGCACATTAGATATTGACCGATATTGACCCACCCTATGATTTGTGTTCCTGTTTTGTTTATATTTTTTAAGATATAATTTTAGTTTATTTATTTTTCTTTTTCTTATTTACAAAATTAAATCACACGCATATATATATAGACACACCAAGTGCTGTAAAAAACAACAACAATTAATTA